CCCACCTGGCTACCAGGCTGCCATGGCCACCACACAGAGGCATTCTGTTTGGCCAGCAGTAGTTTAAAAAAATATGCATCCACTGCCATCACTTAAAAAGCAGCCATTTTTTCATATGATAAAAGCCCTGAGATTCCTGGCTCCCTCTAATAACATCTGCGTATCTGGCACCATAGGGCCCTTACTGTCACGTGGCCACAACTGTGTAGGTGCGGAGCAACTGCTGCTCTAGCTGAAGCTCACGCCTGCTGGCTCCCTGCAGCTCTCCCCGTCTCCTACGGGAGTTCAGCCAGCCAGACTCCCTCCTTCTCAGGGCCCACCTGGCCCCGTGAGCACCTGCGGTTGCTAACGTCCACGTGACCGGGGAGGCAGCTCCTATGCAGGATAACCTCAGCACGCAAGTCGTCTTAGAGGTTCTCCTCCAGGTTAATGACCTTCTTAGACCATGTATGATTCCACTCTGGGTAGCTCCCTGAGACCCTCTGCCTGTCCTGGGCCCCTGAACCTATCCTGATAACCTGACCTTAATTCCTGCTTTCTGCGTCTGTTTGACACAGGGACCTGTGTGCCACCACCTGAGTGTGCCCTGCCTGATCAGTCTAGCCATGGCGGCTTCTGAAGAAGGCTGAGAAGGCTGAGAACCTCTTCTCCTGACACAGATGGCCAACTTCAGCCTCTTCACCTTCAATTCATTTCCATACTGTGTTATGATTCAGATGCCACAGTGGGACTAAACTGCAGCAAGCAGTCCTTCAAATTGTGTGAAGTTAAACGATGCCAAGAAGATTCCTATGGAAACTAGAAGCCCAAGTATTTCAGCAAACTGGTTATGGTCCTACCTCTGGACTGGGCTAGGGCGCCATGGTACCAAGTGTAGGGACACTCCCAGCAACTACTTAGACTACTGCTATAAAATGAATTTTTAGGGGTGCCTGGGTGGCTCAGTGGGTTAAGTGTCTGCCTTCGGCTCAGGTCATGATCCCAGTGTCCTGGGATCGAGACCCACATCAGACTCCCTGCTCAGCAGGTAGCCTGCTTCTCCCTCTGCCCCTCCCCCTGCTTGTGCTTATGCTCTCTCTCTGAAATAAATAAAATCTTAAAAATAAAATTAATTTTTAGTGTCCCCCCAAAATGTGTATGATGATGCTTAATCCCCAAGGTGACAGTATTTGGAGAAGGGGCCTTTGGGAAGTAATCAGGTCACATAACTGGAGCCCTCATGACGGGACTAGCAGATCTTATAAGAAGAGACTTGAGAGAGAAGCTCTCTCTCTCGGCCACTTGAGGATACAGTGGGGAGACGGCTGTCTACAAGCTAAGAAGCAGGCCCTCACCAGACAACGGATCCGCTGGTGATTTGATCTTAGACCTTCCAGCTTCCGGAAATGTGGGAAATAAATACGTGTTGTTTAAGCCACCCAGTCTATGGTGTTTTTGTTAGAGCAGCCTGAATGAACTAAGACAACTATATGAACAATTACGGTCTTATCAAACAAAGAAAAGTCAGCACTGATATTTTGTAAAGGTTATGTTTGTCACATCCACTATCAGCAGGAAATGATTACTATTTAGCCCTCTAGTGCAGTGAGATACTGCCATTTTCCTGGATATTTCTGTATGATGCTGAGGGGGGTCCTAACTATAAAATTTTAACTTGACTATATTCTGAATAAACAGGCTCATTATTTTAAGAGGCTACTTCACACACATACCATGTTTACAAGTAAGCTTCTCCTCTCCCCCAAACACTATATTCTGAGTTTCTGAGTACTTATTGTTCAGATGATAAAAAATTTTAGTAGACAACTAGAACTTTTCCTTAGTTATCTCACCATGGAGTATGCTTTTCCTGAAGAAAAATAAGATGCTTTCCCTGCAACACATACTCAGGTTTAATAATTCTCAGAATAAGAGTAAAGACAAGAATATATATAAGTCAATTTTCACCACATCCTGAAGAAAATCAAGGGCAGCATCTTCTAATGACATATGAGTCAGCCTCATGACTAGTTCTTTAAGAAAAAACATAACAGGAATAAACAATCTTTCTCTGGTTTAGTAACTGTAGTGAATCTTACACTTTTGTCATTTCAGTAATCCCCCTTTATTCCGGGGACCACAACTTCTCAACATAAACCTACCAGTTGAGAAGTTCAAGGGCGCGGACCTGGCCCAAGTGGGGCAGACCCGGGAAAGCTGATCTATGCCTATCTGTAGACTATCCAACATGGGATCCGTTTCCTGCTATATGGACTACGGAAGTAGAGGATTTGAGCTACATTTCCCATTTCATTTATAGTAGTTTGTGCTGGATTTCCACCACCCACAAATAAAGAATCCTAACTAATACAGAAGTTTTGTTTTTTTTACTGAGTTCTTATGTAAATGATTTATCTAACCCACTGACTTAGCTCATCCAAGAATAAAATTTAGACACTGAAGTCAGGACTCATTTTCAGAATAAATTCACTCTATTCCACGTAAGAACCATATATGCCTGAAGCATAATATTAAGTAAAATCATATCGCTGAATATTTAATGGCTTTTTCACTCTAACATCAAAAAATTCTATTAGTGGATAAAAGACGTATGCTTGGAAATATAAACTTGTAAGTGGATGATGGCTTCATGATGGCATAATGAAATCTCACTGCAGCAAATCAGGATGCAGTCAAACTCCATGCTATTCCAATATTTAAAAGGTCTACTTCACCTTTCATTTCTTGGGGATGGCAACGTAAAACTACATTGATGCTGGTGAACAGTATCCTCATCCTAGGAACCTGAAGAGTTTATTTTGGGACTGAGACTATCGATAGCATCCTGATAATCAGATTAGGAGCATCCAAATGCTAATAATATGTAAATCAGTTCCTAATGCAAACTGAGTTTTCAAAGTGGTATAGCCAAATGTTCCACGGTTATGATACAACTTTAGGAACTCAGATCTTAAAACTTTCAACAGGTATTCTGGATTCCTTCTGGGACGCAGGTATTTTTTTCCTGGTTGTTTTGTGCTACACAAGAGTTTCTTGCTTTTTGTTTGTTTGCCTTGTTGCTTTACTCTCTTTGCACAGACTAAAAGTCCAGAAAGACATCAGTGCTGCAATGTAGGCATTTCATCTATAGTAGAAAGGTCATCTCATCGTACTTTGGGGGGTGTAGGGGGAACACTTTCCCATTGTGCCAAATAGGCTCCACTTTTTCCTGTCTGACCGGCAAGGAAAGTAAGGACATAATAAAAAAAGGTAAAACTCTTAGAACAGAAAATAGGGAAATTTGATTTTGAAGAGAAAAAAATTAGATTAGAATCCAAGAAGGCTTTTTTTTCCTTTGACCTTCAAGAACATGAGCAGAGGCAACGTTAGGTTCAAATAAGACAACCATTCAAACTGATGAGGCCCAATGAATCAAAACAAAGATACTGTAACTGTAAATTTATGGATTAAAGGGATTATATAAATAATATACTCTTATATACTACTGAATTTGGTTTTAAATGAGCTGAAATCGAGTTTTAACTGGAATTTACGGAGGTCACTGCGTCTGTGAGCTAAGAGTTACCAAGGAGACTGCTTGCCACTCTAATAGAGCATAATAATTGCTAAAACCAAATTAATTATGCTTGGTAATCACAGATCTCATATGTATATTTACCACAACATGAGTGTGGAGAAACTAATATAAATTGCTGACTTCCATTCTCACTTGGACTTCATAACCCTTGGATATGGAGTGGAAAACGAGTCAACTGGAAACTAAAAATCAAAGTTTAATGAGGCACAAAAATCCCATGTTTTACTTAGGGAAAAAGAAAATAATTTCCCCACCTTGAGTGGAATGTATAAAAAAAAGTGTTCCTTAATCTTTTCTATAGTCCATAGTTTATACTCCACCAGACCATACTTCTAATCATTATCAAGATTAATATCTAATGTTACGTGTGACTACTATAATATACAGGAAAACTTGTACGAGGTTTCTATCTTCTCTCTAGACTGTTGTAAATACCATTAACTCTCTGAACAACATCAAATTAGGAAGGCAGAAATTTTTCTTACATTAGACTACAGCTATATAACTACAGATTGAAATATGGGGCTGAGGACAGCTAGCCATCTTAAATTGCAACCAAAATCCTCATTTGTGATGAATCTAGGCCTCATGTTAAGACTTTCTGTTCAGAACCTGATCCCTGGTCCACGTGGTTTCCTTTACACTAACTGTAGCCTAGTCACTTGGATTCTGCCTCTTCTGTACAAAGCATCTGTAGACCTTGCCCCAAGGTGGTTGCTCTCCCAGCCACACCTTGCCTGCATCACTTTTTAAACAATGCCATATACACTGGTCTAAAGAGAGTCTGACAGCCCAGCTGTGAAGGTGCCTGAGATGAACTGCTGACATAAATAAGGAAAATGAGATGCCCTTTAGCATAGTTAATATGCAATCCTACCTAATGACAAAATGCCTATTATTATTACTTTTTTAAAGATTTTATTTATTTGACAGAGAGAGACAGCGAGAGCAGGAACACAAGCAGGGGGAGTGGGAGAGGGAGAAGCAGGCCTCCCGCCAAGCAGGGAGCTCGATGTGGGGCTCGATCCCAGGACCCTGGGACCATGACCTGAGCCGAAGGCAGACACTTAACGACTGAGCCACCCAGGCGCCCCCAGAATGCCTATTAGATAATTTCCATAAGAGTCTTTCCTCCCAGTAAGATTACTAACAGTGACTTTCCCCCAAATTTAGTTTACTTATACTAATTTTACCTTATAAGGAAAATTCATTTTGAAATTACTTTTAGGGCTACTATTTTAGTTTTTAGATAACAAATTCAGTGAATCTTCATATAATAAATACTTTTAATAAATTCATTATCTGAAAAAGATGCTGGCATGCCAATCATACAAATATTCAGAGTTAAATAACTACTTTAAAAGCTCATTTACATTTAAATAATTACATTTAAAAGCTCATATGTTATATCACATATTTTTACCTTGAGAAGGTATGTGGGAATATTGCTGAAATCCACTGGCAACTTCAAAAGGAAACGAGCTGAAAATTCACCAGTCTGTAGGACAAAAGGTATAATAATAAGATTAAAATAAGAAATTGATTGTGAAGTGACAATTATAGCCAAGGCCACAAGTTCAACCTGTTCAAACTGGAGGCATTTTCAATTTGGGTTTCCTAACATTAGCAAGAAAAGAAGGCTGGAAAAGCAAGGAAAGATCAAAAAGAATTCTTAAATTATTAGCTACTAAAAACATAATTAGAACTTTTTAAATCTGCATTTTCAATGTGCAATAAAATTATAATGTCGTGTTACCTTTTTGTTTTTTTTACGTGTAAAAAGAATACATGAATGTATGATTTTTTTTCATCCAAGCAATAGAGACACACCTCTTCCTTTGATTCATTTCTTTTTTACTTAAGCATTCAGACCACTAAGATTTATAACCCACAGGCGACTGACATATATCACTATCCTTTATAGTGCATCTGGAAGTACATACAAAGATCAAACTTCTGCCCAGAGAAAGCAGTCTATCAGTAGGTACCCCAAATAAGATTCTAATTTCCTGAACAATCTATTAACATCATTATCACCAACTAATATTTTTCAGTAATTCTATGAACTAGTCTCCATAGGAAAGATGTACAGAGGTTTAGAGATTTAAAACATTTAACGAAGCCTAAATAATGACTTCTACCTTTTTTTAAAGAAAAAAAAACCCATGTAAAGAAAAAAGTTTTCCTCTCAATTTATGATGATGGGAAATCATAGAGTTCCTTTTTATGATGGGCATGGCTAAGGTGTCACATTGTTTTAAAAAAACTTTGTCATAGTGTGGAGAAGGGGCCTTCCAGTTGGGTTATCAGACACGTAGGGGTTCTAAGGAACCTCTGCAAAGACCACAAAGTAGGGTGGTGAGCTGGTGGGGTCCTGGGTCTTCCAACCTCTCTCACTCCAAGCCTACAGTTCAGCTTGGGATTCTGACATACGGGGTTTCATTATGACATGCTGTTTGAACAAAGAACTCCGGGGATGATCCAAAACTACTCTAAAGAGTGGATCTCTATCAGGGCGCCTGGGTGGCTCAGTTGGTTAAGCAGCTGCCCTCGGCTCAGGTCATGATACCTGGGTCCTGGGATCAAGTCCTGCATCAGGCTCTCTGCTCAGCAGGGAGCCTGCTTCTCCTTCTGCCTGCCGCTCCCCCTGCTTGAGCTTTCTCTCTCTCTCCAACAAATAAATGAATAGTATCTTTAAAAAAAAAAAGAGTGGATCTCTATCATTTTTATATTTTGGGAACACTGAAGAGCTCCCAATATCTCCAGTGCCTCCCCCCTTAAAAATAAAAACAAGCACCCCAAACTCCCAAAACACATGCTTCAACACAACAAGCATTTACAAATATTTCTTTATGGATCAGTGGATGAAGGCACATAAGCTACCTACATATCTCTTACAGATGTTTCCACATCAATCACCATGCCTTTCTACATATACCCTAACAACTGGCGGCCATTTTTAAATGCTGACCTAAAACCCTGAAAACACAAACAGAAATATAAACCTTGAGCTCAAAAGATGAAATGGCTAACTACCATCTGCATGGTGGTTTGTTGTTTTACTGCTTACAACATCCTTTAACTTACATTGACCTCAGGCTAAGGACAGAGCACTTCCTCATTGCCACAAGCCCAACCCCATGACACAAAAAGCAGAAATGAGAGAATTGAATGGACAAACTCAACGCTGAGGCAAGCCAGACAGACTCACAGAAGCCACTGCACCCACCAGAAACGCCAGTGGTGAGAAACAGGAGGAATCACGGGAGCTGAGCAGCTAGTTGTAGGGCACACCAATACATGCAGGCTACTTGAAAGAATAATTAGGAGCCACCCAAGGATATACAAACAGCTCACCACGGTGGGTGGGAGGAAGAAGTTTGTGAAAGAGCCAAATAAAATTCTTACATTCTATTAAAGTCTGAGATTACTAGAAAGGTATGGTTTGGGCATTTTGTTAAGCTCCTAGAGGATTCTACAACTAACACCACCTATTGAGTGTGATTCTTTCAACCTAAGTACAGGGGCTCATATACTGAAAGATGTGAGTATAGGGACAACATAAAGCACTACAGAATGATATGGGAGCTTATGAGAGGGGCATCTAGCCCAGCAGGAATTTGGGGGGTGTGGGAAGAACAGAAGAGTCTTCCTTGAGTGCTGGTACAATGCTACAGAGGAAGGAACACTCATCAAAGAAGGCAAATTCCCAACCACTGTCCCCACTCTTTCTCCTATATAATCAATTTTCCCCTCTTTACCCACTCACTCCCATCAGTATGCAAACATCATTTAAAAGGTGTTTACCAAAAAGAAAAAAATGTAATAAAATAGTCTTTCTTAACTTCATACCTTTCTTCAGGTCCCATGTCATTTCTCTGTTTTACTTTACAAAACAACCTCCTGTAAAGAACTGGTCTATATTTCTTCTTTCACTGTTCTCTCTGGAACCCTCTCCTGTCAGCCTTCCCTCCCCCCAACCAGTCAACCCCAACAGCTCATCAAGGTCACCAATGACCTCCCCATGGCCAAATCCAACAGTCATTTCTCAGTGCTCATTTTGGTACTTGTTCTCTCAGCAGCGTTTTGACATAGTTGATTATTGCTCCTTTCCTGGAACACTCTCCCCTTGGTTTCCAGGATCCCACCCTCTCTTGGTTTAACTTTACTTCACTAGCCCTCCCTACAGCCTCCCCAGCCTCTGCACGCTGGAGCACACCACCAGCTCAGCCTCAAGACCTCTCTCCTTTCCTGACACTTCCACGTAACCTCATCTAGGCTCAAGACTTTCAATACCATTTATATGCTGATGATTCCCAAATGTTCTATCTCTGCCCAGACCTTCCCCTAACTTGTTTCATTTATCCAACTATCATGAATGAAACCAAACTCCTGATTCCCTTCCTTTGATATTTAGTCTTCATTTTAGTAAATGGTAATTCCATTCTTTCAATCCTTCAGGCCAAAAACCTCAGAAGCATCCTTGACTCCTCTCTTTCTTGTTCATCCTACGTTCAAAGTGGCAGAAAATCCTGTTGATTTTATATTCAAAATAGATCCTTAGTCCAACCACTTCTCACCACAGCACAACCACCTGATCTGAGCCAGGGCCATCTCCAGCCTAGATCACAGCAATCACACCCAACTGCTTCAGCCACTGTTCCTCTGGAAGCGTGTTCTGGTCTCCCTAGGCACGGCAACGCTTTCAGTACATTAGTCAGATTATGATCCTCCTTTGCTCAAACCTCTCAAATGGTAGAGTTTAGCTCCTTTAGAGAATAATCTGATAAGGCAACGGTTGAGCAGAGATGAGGAAGAAAATCATGTGGAATGTGGAGGAGAAACATCCCAGGCAAAGAGAACAGAAAGTATAAAAAGGGTTGATGCAGATGCAGGCCAAAATGTGCAAGAAAGAGCAAGGACGTCAGTGTTACTGGATCAAACAAACACTAACACCAATCAGAGGTCACCCTGAAATTCTCTTTTCCTAACCGCTGTGGGATGTGCAACAATCACTCATAACATTAGTAAACACCGAAATGACGACTGCATCTACATGGAATATTTGTTAAGTCATTCCTGGGGATATTGAGAGAGGTTTTTTACAAGTACCAAGGGGTTAGAAGATATTGCAGAAGGGAGTTGGTTGGACAGACAATAATAAATCTAGCTCAATTCATTTTCAATTTGGAGACTCAAACCACCTACAATCAATAAATGGCCATTTCTACCTACTGGTATACAATGTCAATTGGTGAGTTAAAATGGCAGTCTCAAAACTTTCACACTGTTAGACTCAATGGCTCTTCTACATTTTTTTTTAAACAATAAAAGGAGTAAAATGTAGGATTTAAAAATTAAAACAAGTCTTGTACATATAAGGTAATGGGAAATATAATTACATATTTAGCACTTGGACTCATGTGAACTGCTAGTTATTTTAGTCCATGTACTACATTTTAGCTCTTTTGCCCTATTTTAGTTTGTACAATATATTTTTATTCTACCAGCTATTTTAGACCAACATTCCTTTAAAAACGCTTAGACAATCCCTACTTTATCCCCTCTCAAAATGTTGATCCTAGAACTAATATAAATTTATGTTTATTGGCAAAAGACTGATTTCCACAACTAAATTCATAATAAAAGGCAAGTTGTTCCAAGGACTAAGAGGAGTTTGTGTTTATCAGCAATGGACTGATTTACACAACTAAATGTCATAATATGAGAAACTTAAGGCTGTGAAAGGAATTTGGTGCTCTGGAAACCACAGAAAGTGCTTTTTGATCTCTAACTTTCCAGCTGACTATACATTCTTTATCTTGCCACAAGAGAATAAAGAAAACTTAGCACTTGTTTCTAACTTAGAAAACATTGGAAACTACAACTTAAAAATTCAGTTTTCAGCTCGGCTGTTGATTTTCCTTGTGACCTGGAAGTAATCTCCTTCTGTGTAACTAAGTAAATGCTGATTTAAAACATGTCTTAATATAAAACTTAAGCTATAAATTATGTAAGGAACAAAACATAAGTGAAAAATCCGTTCTGAGTTCTACCTCAGATGACTTTTTCTGGTGTTTTTATATTCAAAGTTCCAACAGTTATTTAAGCAATTTACGGTCACTCTGTTGTAACGTCAAAGATTGCTTCCATACCAATCTTTCCTGTAAGCTGAAAATGAGACATTTAGATGCAGCCAAGTGAACAGAATAACTTGATTTTTTTGTCAGTCCTTGGTCAAATCTTCTCTTGGATAGATGTAGAAAATTATCTGACCTATGACTGTTAAAATGTCAGCTGTTCTGCCAACTGCCTTAATGGCAATTTCCCCAGCTTAGCAATAAATATGTGCATCCTTCCTTTTTTTCAAGTTACAGTACATTGGCAAGTAACTTAAACTAACAAGCCTCTGAGTTTTGGCAATTTATTAGGTCTGAACTTTTCTTCTGCTAATAGCAGCTGTGTCGTGTGACAGGTAGTGACAGGTAGACATCTTGT